TGGAGTTGACGTCCACAAGTTTTAAAGTGGCCAAGGTTGGAGACCCATGATCTAAATGAACTTCATCCATCATTGTCTGGAACTGATACTGATCTCTCATTCCCCAACACCTCATCCAGCAATATAAGCTTAGGCGATACTGATTCTAAGTACCCCCAAATCTAAATTTGGGTTTTTTTTTTCATCACATCCATATCACTTTCTGTTTAACAAAATAGGGGCCACGCATGAACCTCTAAACTCTCTGATTTTAATAGGATCATCGGAACTACGTTGTCAAAATTACCTTTTTATTTTACAAGAGGGACTTTGATTCAGAAATTGTTTACCCAGAGTAAACCTGTGACAAATAAGCAGGTTGAGAACTGCAGGTAGTGTCTGACACGCTGGGCCTTCTTTCCTCTCTGGTGAGCTCAATCTGGGTAAAAATTGCAAATGAGCCTTGGTGTTGCTAATGATGGGGAAACAGTTCAGGTGTAAGATACATTGATTGGTTCTGAACATCATGTCACTCAGGAAGTCAAATGTTGTCCTTATTTACAGGAGTAGAACTTGTAATGAAAGTCAGTGGAAGTGACAGATAAAACACTATGTGCTAGTTTAAAAAAGAAAGCCACAAACTACAGATATTCTCCACTGCCAGGATTCTTGACTTACTTTAAAATATTCATATATTTGATATCCTTTTTTAGAGATGCCACAATAGTACCAGTACCAACAGTCTTGCGATACCATTCTCTAAAACGATAGAATAAAGATGACAGATAAAAGCTTGCTGATTTTCAGACTCACCTTTTCACAACCTGCATCAATCAAAACATATTTTCCCTACACCTGAAAGGGGATAATGCTGGCATCCAAATGACCTGCTTTGAGAAGGTTTTCCAAAAGAGGTTGCCAGAGCCATTTGCCTTTCCTAATTGATCTCCGCTTCATTTGAGCTTTGTAAAGCTAAGAACCGGCCTTTCAATTTGGGTTTGGAAACAAACCAAAAAATTGTGCAAATCCTTTAAAACCACTGATATCCAGTCTGAACGCACTATATAGCTGTCAACATCTTGGGGTCCATGTGTGCAGTAATCAAAGCTTTCCAATTGTTTTCAAAGGCAGTTCCCCAGAAATGTTTTCCAGCTAAGAGATTATCCAGACATAGATAAGGTGTGGCCAGTTCAAAGGGTTTTTAATTTTTGTTATCCTACCTTTATTATTTTTGTAAATAATAAAGGTAGGATAGTAAATAAATACATAAATAATGTGGCACTAGAATTCACAGTCTCCTGGTTTTTAGCCTGGCGCCTTAACCACTAGATCAAACTAAAATTGTGTGACCAGCTTGGCATTCAGGGTTCATTCAGAGCTGTGGTGGTACAGTGGCTAGAATGCAGTATTGCGGGTTAATTTGGCTGACTGCTGACTGCCAGCAGTTCAACAGTTCGATTCTAACTGGCTCAAAGTTGACTCAGCTTTCCATCCTTCCGAGGTTGGTAAAATGATTTTGGGGGGCAATATGCTGACTCTGTAAACCTCTTGGAGAGGGCTGTAAAGCATTGTGAAATGGTATATGCCTGAGTGCTTTTGCTATTCTGGCAAGTTACAGAGCTCAACCTTTAGTTTCTTTTGTCTGATTCTTTTCATGGTTTCAGTATACGTAGTAAGAGGGATGGCTATGACTTAACAATCCTAAATCTGAGGCATCCAATTTCACTTGCCACATATTTAGAGGTGCAGTACTCTTAGTGCTTGTTTTGTTTTCTCTCTTACAGTAGACACTGTAGTGCTAATGCTCCATCGTTCTGGGATGGTAGAAGTCCATCTTGTAGAGGGTGTTCCATTATTATTCAATTCTTTCTTTCAATGCAATAGTCAATACATACCCATTAGATCAAACCAGACGTTGTAGAAAAGTCTATGACTTTTATTCTACATATTTGATAGTGTTAAAGGTATCGGTGCAGGAACAAAGCTGCCTTTTGCTATCTTTGAAGACATCCAATTAAAACAGGGTTTTCTAAAGAGGTCAGTATTGACCTCTAAGGGTTAATCTAATCTATCCAAGGGGTCAATATTATTATTATTATTATACTTGATCAAACAGCCAGCCAGATGTTTAAGCTGGATTTAGCATTTTTATTCACCTACCAAGTCTTTTACAATTATCCAAGTTAGGCAGATATTATTGTTAGATGGATTATTATGATTTGTCACACAGTCACAGTCAGCCAGATGTTCAGACTAGATTTTATCCAGCTATTGAGGCTTTTCCAAGGACCTGGGATAAGCAGATGTTGATATTTGATAGTGTTAAAGGTATCGGTGCAGGAACAAAGCTGCCTTTTGCAATTGACCAATGGTGATTTTTTCAATGCTAGTGGTGTTCAAATGGTGTTCCAGATGTTTTGGGATTAGTACCCAAGGTGCCTATTACTATTGGTATTACCTTCGCTCTCTTTTCCCACAGACATTCTATTTCTTTTTGTAGGTCTTTGTATTTTTTAATTTTCTCCTATTTTTTCTCTTCTATTCTGCTGTCTGTACTGCCATGTGCAATACCCAGATATTTTTTATCTTTTTATTATTATTATTATTCACAAAAAACAACAGTGTACACAGCAAACGAGATAACTATGCTGGGTTTCGTATCACAAATCACTTCCCAGCACTTCCCAAGTGTTTAGGACTGTGTGATGTATTGGTGGATTATGCAAGCAGATCCCAGGAGTGCACGGGGTGCCGCCTTGATGTGGCGGGGGGCTTAACTGCTCCAATTAAGCTGAGAGCTGTGCTGGCGGTAGTGCAAACTACCAGCAGGTCCAACCATGTCAGAGAGGTTTCAGTCAAGGAGAAGAACTGAGTGCACCCAACAACCCATGCAATGAATCATGGTGAAACACAACCAAATGAAGCCTATACCAGCTTAGTCGTGGCCCAGGTTAACAAGGACCATGTCGGGTATTGGGGAACCTGGGCATCTGTTGACAAGTGGGCTACAGGCCATGGGTCCCATAGCTGAGCAACCAGGGCATGGGCCTGCAGGGTTACTAGAAGCTGAACAACCTCAGAAGCGGCAGAAATACACTATGTCAGAGAACCGCACCATAATGAAATGCTACTACAAAGCAGAACCAGAAACACAAGGCTACAAAAAAAAATTATTTTCATACAATGAATGTTTGGGTATTGATAAAAAAAATTCAGGAAGGTTTCAATGAGCTGAAGAGTTTAGAGACCCCTGAAATAAAGTGTCACATGCACCTAGCAGATTTGGCAGTTAAAACAAACAAACAAACAAACAAACAGAAAAGCTGAGCTAGACCTGAGATAGTACATGGCTGGGAGATTAGCAGGACATCTCAGAGCTAATTGGGAATTTGAAAAATATTTGAAGAAAAGAATGGAAAAACCACTTCTCTACTGTTGCCCCCCCAAAATTACATGAGATTTGTTTGCTAGCTGAGTCCACAAGGCAATATAAAACGTCTAGACATGAAAACAATGCAATTAAATATATGAGAGACTGAAGAACAACCTCTGAGGCCACCACACAACCATATCTTCTTTGAACCCAAAGAATTACCGTAGAATACAATGCACATTAACTGGGGGAAAAAACTGGCTCTGGTAACTCCACACTGATCATTTTTCAAAGGCTCCAAGAGAGATCAAGGTTCAGAAACTTCTGAAAAAAACATGAGACTAGATGTTGCCTTTGCTTCAAGTGTCAGGCTGTTTGTCAGAGGAAGCGATTTTCAGCAGTGGTTCCCTGGGCACCCACATTGGGGCCAGAATCTATCTGGAAAATGTAGTCTCATAGATACCCACTTCAGCTATATAAGCACCTTGAATTGCTCTTTGAAATCCAGCAGTAACCAGTTAAATGAGTCATGGGGTAATACCAAGATCCAGTATGAGGGCTGCTGCATTTTGGACCGGATAGAAGATCCTCATATAGAGTGAAGCACAATAAGTCAATTGTGAGATATGACTACCAGTATTCTCAGGGCATCATTTGAGACATGCATAAAGTGTTTTTCCCTTGTTCCTTTAATGAATCCAGTTGTCGTTCACATTGTTCAATGTTCATTAGCAAAACACTTTTTTTCAGCATTTACACTCAATTTTTTATTTCCTTGTTATTTTCAAAATTTTGTTTGGCTCTTTTATTAATGCCTTTCATATTAAAAAGACAAGTGGTACAAGTCACATTCGATCTGAGGCATTGTGAGATGATAACTTTGGCTTTGGTCCTTCAAAACCCCAGATGAAATAACAACAATAAAAACCCCACTCACTATTCGTTGACAAGATTTTGCAGTGAATGGAATTTGATCAGAATCAATGCTGGCAAATATCATTAGATGTTTACTAACAGAAGCAGGTGAAGTTTACTTTACATATGAATTTCCATTTGTTATTGATTGTGCCATGAAGTGCTAACTAGCAAACATGAAATAACTATCCAACTTTCTTTGCTAGAGGCAAAACATTTGAGTATCTTACCTATTGATAAGCTGTATATGAATGACTCATATGAAATGTGAATGGGAAATGTAATTTATTGTGAGGTGAAATGAGTTCCTGATTTTTTGAATTGGCTGTTTTCCACATGCAAGTCAGCATTTGATGTGGAAATAATTGAATGATGAATATGTTTATATGAACTCTCCTGGGAAGCACATAAGTAATTTAAAAGTGCTGCATTGGTTACTGAAGTTGAAGTTAGTCTTGAAGGCACAAAAGGTGGGACATACAATACTAGAATTTCTGGGGAAGAAATGATGAACTGAAGATGGCTCTGACAACTAACTTTGCAATTCCTCTATACAGAAAAAGAAAGGGACCAGACATTGTCCACCAGTACTTCACACAGTTGCTCCCAGTCTGTCATCTGTACCTCTATAATTGTCTGGTTTGGTTCTGCAACCAACAAGACAGACACAGACTTCAGAGAATAATTAGGACTGCAAAAAAAAACAATTACTACCAACCTGCCTTCAGTCGAGGACCTGTATACTGCATGAGTCAAAAAGAGGGCTGTGAAAATATCTACAGACCCCTCACATCCCGGACATAAATTGTTTCAACTCCCACCCTCAAAACGATGCTATAGAGCACAGCACACCAGAACAACTAGACACAAGAACATTTTTTTCCCAAACGCCATCACTCTGCTAAACAAATAATTCCCTCAACACTGTTCAACTATTTACAAAGTGTGCACTACTATTACTGTTAACCTTCTCATCACTCCTTGTCACCCATCCCTTCCCACTTGTGACTGTATGACTGTAACTTTGTTGCTTGTATCCTTACGATTTATATTGACTGTTTTCTAGTATGATTTGATTGCTTATTGTACCCCATGACCATTATTAAGTGTTGTACCTTATGAGTCTTGACTTTTGTCAAATGTATCTTTTATGTATACCGAGAGCATTTGCACCAAGACAAATTCCTCGTGTGTCCAATCACACTTGGCCAATAAAGAATTCTATCTTCTATCTATCTTCTATGAGGGGAATGAAAGACTGTGGTCTCTGGTGAAATTAAAGCTCTGGCAGACCAGGGAAGGATATCTTAGCACAAACTGCAATTCGTGCCTGAGTTCACATACTTCCTTCTCTAATCGGATAGGAAATTGAAAAAATATTCATGTTTGATTTACTCATATAGAATGGAGCAAAATACTGTATTATTGGACTTATTGAAGGCTGTTTTTGAAAAATGGATCCAGAAGTAGATTGTAAAAGTATCTGCCATTATAGATGGACTATGTTTAAAAAATGTTATGGAAAAGGGACAAGTGTTATCTGATAGGACGGGCTGATCTGAAAGTGGATTTAAAAATGACAGGTTACAAGAATGATACGGAAAAAGATACTACATGGGATATATAAATGAAAGCAGCTGATATCTTAGTAATTACAAGGGATATACAAATAACTAATCAATGAAGTGGTCTAGATAACTTTCTTATGTTTATGAAAGAGACTTGCTAAAGTCATGTTCTAATCCTCTTGAAGGGATTAAAGATCAAGATTGTTAAAAGTAAAAGAAAGGAATATAAAATTGGTTTGTTTGGTCAAGATTAAAATAGATACAGGTATGTTGTTATCTCTGGTAACTGTTAATGAACTTTTGCTCATCAGGACTGAACAAGATGGTTTTAAGTTTTTTAAAAAATAGATAAAAAATGATATATGATGGGAAGAGATTATTTGTTGAGTTTTAAGAGAGGTTACTAAAATTGTTTATGTACTAATGATGAAGGGAAAGATATTTATTTTTCTTTATTATATTCTTATTTTTTATTTTTTATTTCTGTTTTTCTTTTCTATACTTTCTATTCCTTCCTTTTTTTCCCTTTCTTTCTCATATCAGTTTTCATCTTTTTAACTGTAATGGTTAATAAAATTATTATACAAAGGAATATGAAATACTGCATTACACCCATATGTGAAAGTTGAGACTGACTGAGAATAGGCCATCATTTTGAACCGATGGAGGACAACCTGCTTGTTTATCAGCCCCCAATTTCTCATCTTTATTGACCTGGATCTTGTCACACTTCCTAGGCTCACATATCACTTCCATAACAGCAGGTTGTTTTAATAATGTTCCTTGTTCCATTTGGTACCATTTAAAAAAATCTCTATGTTCAATTGTATTATTAATTTGTGTGTGTGCTTAATCTCCAGTTTTCTACCTGTGTGCTCTGCACTGGTTCCTTTCTTTCTTCAAGTCAGGTAAACCCATCTTGCTTTGCCTCCTTGTAAATGTGAATTTGCTCACTTGCTCAAAGCTAGAAATGGCACTTACATGAAAATACAGTATATTCTCTCTCTCCCTCCCCCTTATATTTCTTACACTGTTGAAAGCAAATTGGGATCAAAACATAGGAAGGCAAAAAAGCAGGAGTAGAAACAGCCTTCCTTTACTCCATTTTATAGACACATTGTTGGTTGACTGAGGAGAAAAGTATATGGAAGAGCTAGCTTGGCAAACTAGCATTGAGCCCCAAAAGCCAAGCAATTTATTAGTTAGCAGATAATCGTATTAATTTCATTTCATCACCTTGTGATCTCATGTATGATAGCATCCACCCTTTTCTATTTGTACAATAGTTTGCTGCAGAACCAAGTACTGCCTTTATGTTGTATTAGGGATCAGCTTTATCCGTCCCAACTCACAAACCTTGCTTTACAGTTCCTGACTTCAGTTCTTCAGTAGGTCTTTTGCATACAGTGGTTTTCCTTCTTATTATATGCATCAGGGGTCTCCAACTTTGACAACTTTAGGACGTGTGGACTTCAACTCTTAGAATTCTGGGAGTTGAAGTCCACATGTCGTAAAGTTGCCAAGGTTGGAGACCCCTGGGTCAGACCACACCTTACACTCTGCTCACTTAATGTTAAAATTAGTCTCTGACATTTCTGTGCAGTAGATTGTAAACACTGGATATTGCAATGCGTAGATCTGCTGTGTACATTTCTGTCCTCAGGTTATACAAGGGATAGCAAGGATTTTAACAAGTACCTGGAATAGATTATCTAGCTTATCTCAGTGATATCTCATTTGTCTTTGGAGAGATCATGGCAACTTATATGGGTTTATGCTTCATTCTTATTCTCATTACTGTAACCTTGTGAGATAGCTAGGTTGAGAGATAGCAACTAGCCCAAAGTCATCCACTAAGATTCATGAGTGGATCTCCCCAGCCTTGCATCCTAATTAATAAATAAAACTGGCATAAATAATGTGAATTATTCTAAAAGATATTTGGATATCCTGAATAGGTTGCTTCACTGACTAGTGACAAAGTACAACATAACAAGAATCAAACAACATGTTTTGAACCAGGCTAGGCACCTCCTATAATGACCAATAATAAATAATTTTTCATTCCAGTAAAATCTACTACTGATTACAACTACTTGGGAAAGAGAGGGAAGCGATGGCATCCTTATCTCTTTTTGAGGTATTTTGATGTGATTATTCATTTTTAGAAAGAGAAATTATAGGAATCTATTTTTATTGCAAAGCATAACACATCAAGAAATATATGAAATGAAAGATAATGAGTATAAATATTTATTCACTTATCAACATGCACAATACTATTAGAATAAAGTTCTTGGAAAGGTTGACAGTATGAAAATCATTCTAGATTGTATATTTTCTGCCCTTGGCTACTTCTTTTTTTCTTGTGACAAAAATAAAGAGACCAGAATATAGATTTATGGCTCCTTTTTGCACTGTAAATGCATTAGCAATTTAGTTATAGGCCATTATTATTAATTCGACATTCTCTCTTCTAATACAGGAATGCAATTTTTGGCGTTTTCAATACCAGGTGGCTTCCTCTTTGGCCCTTATCATTGTTGGCTTTTTCTGCAGAGGATCTGACTTTGAAATCTACTTTCTCACTAAAACAAACAAACACCTGTTGCACATTAGAAATTAGTAGCAGTGTGCATAATGTTTTTCTTTATAGCTATTTGCAAATATGTCCAAACAGTGAAATAATCAGACATAAGAAGGTTTAAATGCATGTGCAGTATACAGAGCTTGGCAAGGCAATTTATACATTTTCTTGTATCAAATTAGATTACATTTATTGAATTTAATTTTCATTTTGATTGTGTGTGTGTCACACAGTACCTTGGAACTGAAAATCTGCCATTAGTGTCAGCATGAAAAAGCACATGTTTTTAATAATCTTGTGGGCATTTTGGGGTAGAAATTCAGATCAGTGGAGTGTTTTCTTTTAGATTTGGATGTTTTTTGAAAATTGAAAGATTACTAAAAATACTAGAAATTAATGTAAATATTTTTTGTGCTTACTGTGTAGCTTGGGACAAAATATTCTTTTATTGTTTTTGCTTATTAGTCAAGTAAGTTTTACTAATTTGGCATCCCAGTTAAATAATCTTTATCTATTTAAGTGTATATAAAGTGGGTTTACCTTTTGACTTTCTAGTGGGGAAAAACATTACAGACAGTAATATACTATAGAAAGAAAAATACAAAACTAAAATATTAATTATAAGTACAGTATATAGTAAGGTGTTGGTTAAAGAATATAATAATGCATTGTTATACAGTATTTAGATGCATATAATGTCAGATGCATTAATGTGTCTCATGCAAAAAGAAATGAGAAGAGGGGAAAATAACAATGAGAAAATGCACAGTGAGGCTTACCCAAATAAAAGGCTTTGCTTTCTTATTATGTTATTTGCCAGGTAATACATTCAAAGCTGTCGGTCCAGTCTGTTTTGCTAAAACTGAGCTCTTATGAAAGATCCACAAAAGATTGCTTCCTATTAAAAATACCCCAAGCATTTAACAGCTAAAATTATAGTACAGAAAACATGAAACTTCTTAAATATGCAGATTTTCATTGTGTTATCATATGCTTGTGTTGTCTTTAAAGGAGCAAACAGCAAAGGCAAGGCCAGGCTGAATTGAGATCCAGGCTGCCAAGAATTGCTGAAAACACTTGTTAATTTGAGTTTAGTTTAGTTTAGTTTACTTTATTGTCATTGCACCTCATACAACGAAATCAAACACCTGCTGACAAGAAATATATTGTAGATAACATCAAATTAGTACTTATCAAGTCTGGCAACTTTAAAGTGTCTGGACTTCAGCTCCCAGAATTCCCCATCCAACATGCTGCTTAGAGAATTCTGGGACTTGAAGTCCAGACATCCTAAAATTGTCACGGTGAAGAAACACTGGTTTAAAGGAGGAAAGGAGACAAAAATCAACCTCACAGAATAATATATAAGAATGAATATTCAAATGATGTTTATATATATAATATTATGGCATTTCATGTACTTTTCCTCCTTTCGCTGTTACAGATTTGAAAGCAATTGAACTGAGTTCATACATATTGCTCCAATCATTCTCCAGATAAATTCTTTGTTATAATCAATCTCTATGAAAATGAATCAACCATGCTTATTATAAAGATGTTTTGTAGCTTTCAGAAGCTTTCAT